ATACCTGCCCTGACCTTTCACGACACGCGCACGGCCCTCATGAGCAATGGGCTCGACACCCCGACGGCAGGCAGAGGGCGCGCAGCTGAGCGTCACGCGGGGGCTCCTGCGGCTCTTATGGGTCCAGCCCCCCTTTCCTCCATGTGCTGCCATGGCCACCTGTGGCGAGAGAGCTCTCCTTAGGCTTCTCGGGGCCTCATCGTGACAGCGGAAGAGAGAGTCAGCAGGACAATTTGCTCTTCTGTACAGAAATGTTACATCTCTCCTGCTAGCATTGAAGCGGAGTATAAAATTAAAAAAAAACCTGCTTCAGGTGAGAATGAAACCCTTTCCAACGAATCAGCAGGTCGACGCCTGGCACCAAAATATGGGAAAGCAGCAGGATTTCTCCCTCAGCAGCCAGCCAGGAAGGGCCAGGATGACGGAGTTCATTTCCCACCTCCAAGCCCTCCATCGTGCCTTCGCCACAAATCAGTCTTCATAACCCAGAGGAGGGGTGGCCAAAGTGCCGCTCAGGAGCCACACGGGGCTCCTTCACACACACTGTGCGGATCCCATCAGGGCGGCTGGGGAAGGGGGGGGGGGAGGCAGGCCTCCCTGGTGGGAGGTCCCCTCCCCTCCCTGGCTTGAGGTGTGGGGGGGAGCAGAGAAAGAAAGCAACTTTAACTTTAAATGTGTTCTCACACACACACCCAAGTCGGTCAGCTTGGAGAAGGTGATTGTCTCTTCGCCAAGCCAGCTGGCATGGGTGTGTGTGTGTGGGGGGGGAGGTTGGAGAACACATTTGAAGTTAAAGTTGATTTCTTTCCACCTCTCTTTCCCCCTTCCTCCCCCATCTATTTGCTCTTTCAACCTGTCTTTCTTTCCACGTTTCTTTCTCCCTTCCTTCCTCCCTTCCTCCTCTCCCCATGTATTTACTTCGTTTCTTTCCTTCCACCTTTCCTTCCACTTTTCTCTTTACTTTCCTTCTCTTCCTTCCTCTCCCTCCCCATCTATTTACTTTATGTTTTTCTTTCATTCCACCCCTTCCATTCTTTCCACCCCCCCTCTCTCTTAAGACAAATATCATTGGACAAATAAATATCATTATCAATATCTGTTTTTACCCCCTTTTGTTTTTATTTTTGGCAGTCTCATTTAATGTTAATAAAAAGCAAATTTGCATATTTTCCAATAAAAACGTGTAATATTTGTTCATGACTTGCGACTCTCAAACATCTGACATTTATTCTATGCAGCTCTTAAATTAAGCAAGTTTGGCCATCCCTGATCCAGAGCATAAGCAGACATCTCCAGCTGACACACACGCCTAAAGATCAAAGAAAAGGCAAAATGGCAGTGTTGGAATCCTCAGACCCTTGGAGGTTGGGTAAGGTTGTGAGCTGTCTTTCCAAGATGTGAAGATGTCTGTCTTGCTGAAATTACACACCAAACAATGCCAACTAGGAGCAGCTTTGAGTACAAGCAAACGGGTCATTTTGAGCTGGAATGAGCCGGGATGGTGTTCTGGGAGTAACAAGTAAATTCCTCCCCCCGCCCTTCCCTTCACCTCACCTCCAAGTTCAGGTGGCGTTTCAGGGCCTTCTCCTCACTTGTGTGGAGGGAAGCTTGTGCTGAGCCCTCCCCAGACACCCAAGTGTGCTCAAGGATTTGTAGCGCCTTTGGGGTTTCTTGTCTCCTTTTTTACTGCCCAGCCCAGCCCAGCTGGCTTCTCACCTTCGTTCCCGCTCCAGGCTGCATGCCGGCCGGGTGGGGGGGACCATGCTTGGGCACACTGATGTCGGCGTGCTGCCTAGTTGGAGCAACATCTCCTGGCCACACAGTGAGGCAGCTGAGTTCCTCAGGTGCCCACCCAGGCCAGTGCCACCCACCGCAGTGGCACACGTCACCACTGCCTCGACGAGCCGCTCGTGTCGGGCTGAGAGGAACCAGCCACTCCTCGCCAACTGCAGTGCTGAGCCTCTCTTCAGCACATGACCCAGGTTGGGCTTTTCCTTACGCCCCACTGCTCCCCGGGGGCAGACATCAGCAGGGCCAGCCCATCATAGAAAATTTTTAAGCAGCAGCCTAGAGCAGCCCCTTAAGAGGGGGCACCCCATGGCCACTGGCCTGCTGCCTCTCCCCTCCCTTGTCTAAACAGGGTAGGCTGAGGTGATGCTGCTGCGACCCCACATGGTGGCAGCGGCAGAGACCGGCTTCCAGGCGTGCTCCTCCAGGGACTCCATGCTGCTCCGGCCTCCAGCAGGCCACCTGCCAGGCGCTGCCCTGCCCCACACTCCAGCACTGGCCTCGGGCAGCAGAGCCTTCCTGCTGTGGCTCTCACTCGCTAGCTGCCGCGAGCCTGCCCACCAAGGCCATGCTGGGCAAGGACTACATGCTGGTCAACTGTGACAACCGCCCCCGGCGTGGGAAGGAGGGTTCAGGGGGGTGCCCTTCCCGGGAGGAAAGCAAGCAAGTAGCTGGGTTGAGGCCACCCCCGGTGGCACCCATTCCCTTCTTCCCTCTTCTTCTTCCTTGGGACTGTCGTGCTGGGGCAGGGGGCACACTGAGGGGGCACCAGAAAATTGGTGGGTGAACCGGGGGATGTGTGTGCCAGAAGGTTGCCTCACCTAGTGTACAAAAAAATCTGGAGCTGGCCCTGCTTATCAGGCAGAGAGAGGCTGCCAGCCAGCCGCTCTCGGAGCTTGTAGGCGTGGAAATCAGCCACACGCTGGCCTTTCTCCTGAGCAAGTGTCATGTGGCACCCCTTTAAACCTAGGGTGGCAGTGGCAACCCACTATTTCAGCAGACACCGACGGAGTGCTTCTGCTGCTTCCCTCCAGAGACAACCATTGGTGACTTTCGTGGTACAGCAAGGGGATCGAGCTGGGAGGAGGCCCCCCCCATGTCAACGGGTTCTCCCACACCTCTTGGAGGAGGAGGAGTATTTCAATACTAATCCCTGTGGGCAGATATAGAAGGGTCCCGTTTGACCAGAGGCTCTTCCACTGTGATTCTGGGGAGGTAGAAACCATCAGACGTATGATGTTTAGATGCAGATGGTATAATAAGATCCAAGATAAATATATTACAACTTTTGTAAAAGAAACATCTGGCCAGACAGATTGGGAGTGCTGTAACTGATTGTTATCTGATGAAAATTGGACTATTACTGAATTGGTGGCTAAATTTTGGGCAGCATGCTATCGCATTAGAACTGTTTGGCTAAATTTAAGGCTTCCAGTCGGGGGGGAAATGGCGATTTGATGCATCCTGTAATTGCTCAGGGTGGACGGTGGTCCTTTGTGACAGTTTGGACGAATATCTCGTCCAACGCAGCTTCCCCCAGGCAGGGGGAATGACTGGCAAGCATCAAGACCCAAGTGAGAGTTGAGATTGGTGTAATCAAGCCTCGGAGGAGACTTGTTTTACACTTTGATCCCCTCTCCCGAAGCGGGTGTTGCAATCAACACTAAAAGAGCACACCGAGCTGAAAAGACAGCTTAAAATCGCCATTTCCCGACCTCCTAACAAGAAGGAAAGAAGTTGAAACAAAGGAGGCAGTGTGAAAGCCAAAGATAAACAAGCAAGGTAACAAAAACGTTTTGCTTACCGGGAAACGATCGGAGAAAATTTTTGATGGAACCGGATAGGCGATTATGAACTTTATGAAGTATTCATTTAATTTGAGGATAAAAGACTTGTTAAAAACAGAGAAATGAAAGAAAAGAGACTTTGTTTACCATTCCTGTGGTGGCTGAAAGATAAGAGACTGAGACTGAGATAGAAAATAATGTGAAAAAACACGAGACTTTGGGAGGCAAGGGGATCGAATTGCAGCTGAAGGGAGGTGTCCCGGAAGTGCTCTAGAGGAGCAGGAGGAGACGGAGATGAGTGTGGAGGACCGAAGATCTAAAGACAGAAGAGGACACCGGGGGATCGATTAACTGAACGGACAGGAAGCAGAAGAACAAAAAAGCCTACTCTAGGCTAGAAAATCATAGAGACAAAGCGACCGACATTTTGTGGACGACTAATTTTAAATTATAGATTTTTGGCCGAAAATTAAGCGTTAAGAGAAGGAGAGCGATTCGGATGAGCGCACAAAGGTCAATCAGGCAGTGTTAGTGAATTTTATTTTAGAATTGGCAAAGTTTAAACAAGTTTTTGAAAACGGATTTAAGACAGAGGCCAAGGGCAGCTTCTTGGTCAAGCCCCAAGATGTCTAAAAAAGAAAAACAGGAATGGCAAGCAGCAATGGAGGCTATGGAAAAGAGGATGATGGAAGCTATCCAAGGCCTAGGGAAGCAGATGGAAGAAGTCCAAGAAAAAAATATGGCTAAAATGAAAGAGTTGGTAGTCTCAGAGGTGCCTGACCTTAAAAAAGAAGTTGCAGAAATTAAAAATGAATTTCAAAGTCTTTCACAGAAATCCACCGAAATGGAGCAAAAAACACAAGAAATGAATAATAAAGTGGAAACTGTGAGACAAGAAAATCAAAGACTGGATACAATGATGGAGTACAGAGCAATGCAAACCTATCTGAGGCTAAGAGGAATTGAAGAAAAATTGGATGAGGACATTCGTACGTTAGTGATAAAAGCGTTGGCAGAATATTTGAAAGAGGAAGAGGAAGACATAAATTTTAACTTTGATTTGATTTACAGAGTGAACTCAGTGTATGCTCAAAAGAAGAATTTGCCAAGGGATGTGATCGTGCAGTTACTAAGTGAATGAAAGAAGATATATTTAGGAAGCAATTTAATGAACCACTGGAAATTGATGGAAAAAAGATGACAGTAATGAAGGAACTTCCAAGGACAATTATTCAAGACAGGAAAAAATATAAGAGATTAACAGACAAACTGAAGCAATTGAGTATAAGATACAGATGGGAAATACCACAAGGAGTGAGTTTCAATTACAACAATCAAAGACATGCAATTAAGATGACAGAACAAATGCTTAGATTCTTGTTTGAAAACTCCAAGGACTTTGGAGATAAGTAATACACAACACTATGGATTACAAATTTTTATCGTGGAATGTAAATGGACTCAATTCACCCAACAAAACAAAATTAGTAAAGCATTGGTTGGAATAGCAGAAATGTAATATAATTTGTTTACAAGAAACTCATATTAAAAAAACAAGATTTTAAGTACTTGATCAATAAGCAATTGGGAGAAGAATTTTATTCATCGGCATTGAAAAAGAACAATGGAACTGTGATATATGTTAAAAAAGAATTAGATCCGAAAGAAATCTTTAAAGACATAGAAGGCCGTTATATTGGTGTGGAAGTGATCAGGCATCAAAAGAGGACGTTGATTGTGAATGTGTATGCACTGAATGGAGCAAAAGAGAATTTTTTAAAAGATTTGTTGCAAGAATTGGACCAGGTGGCATATGAGCAGATCGTAGTAGCAGGAGACTTTAATGGGACAGTTAATAATAAACTGGACCGGAAATCCAAAAAAATTGACAATAACATGGGGAAGTTACCAAAAAAATTTTTTAATTTGGTCAAACAAGAAAATTTGGAGGACATATGGAGAAAATGGAATCCAACAACTAAAGACTTTACATTCTATTCCAACAGACATGATTCTTTTTCTAGGATTGATATGATATAGATGACTGGGGATATGGTGTTAAAAACTAGAAAAGTAGAAATTATGTCAAAGACTAATTCGGACAATAACCCAATTATGTGGATATCAAATGAAGGGAAAAGACAATTTAGATGGTGAATAAATGAAGATTTGCTGGATAAACTAACAATAGTGGAGACTATAAGTAAAGAGACCTTGGACTTTTTTCAGACCAATTTAAATCAAGGAACTCAGATTCAGATTGTTTGGGACGCATATAAAGCTGTAATGAGAGGATTACTTATATCATTGAACAACAGAGAGAAAAAAGAGAAACTGAAACAACAGAATAATATAAAAGAAAAAATTCAACAAAAGGAAAAGGAATTAAAGAAGAGACCGGGAAAAAAGAAAATGATTAAAGAGATCCAAATATTGCAGGAGCAACTAAAAGTGATTATGAACCAAGAAATATATTGGAATTTTAAAAAGTTGCAACAAAAATCATTTGAAGGGGCAAATAAGCCAGGGAAGTTTTTGGCATGGCAGTTGAAAAAGCGCAGAGAAAGAAAAATAATAAACAAAATAAAAGAAGGTGATAAGGAAATTGTGGATAAAAATGGAATTAAAAGAGCCTTTTTCAAATATTATGCAAAGTTATTTCAGAAGGATATAGATCAAGAAAAAATTAGAAAGTATTTGGATAAAATGGAAATGCCAAGGATTGAAGAAGATGTAAAAGAAATGCTAAATAGTCCAATTTTGAAGGAAAAGATATTTAAGGCGATGGAAGAGGCAAAGTTAGGGAAAGCTCCAGGACCAGATGGATTTACCGCAAAGTTTTATAAAAAATTAAAAGTGGAGCTAACCCCGACTCTGGAACTTTTGACAAATGAAATAAGAACAACAAGGAAAATACCAGAATCATGGAAAGAGGCTACCATATCGCTTATTCCAAAAGAAGCCCAGGATTTAACAAATGTGAAAAATTACAGACTAATTTCGCTTTTGAATAACGATTATAAGCTTTTTGCCAAAATTATATCTGAAAGATTAAGATTTATTTGAAGGAAAGCTGTTTTTTTTACCAAAGAGTCAAATTAAAGACAATTTAAGAATGGTGATTGATGCAATTGAATATTATGATAAACACCCAGAAAAAGAGGTGGGTTTTTTCTTTGTGGGTGCAGAAAAAGCTTTTGACAATTTAAACTGGGATTTTATGTACCAGGTCATCGAAAAAATGGATATTGGAGAGTCATTTACAAATATAATCAAGGTGATTTATTCAGAACAGAAAGCAGCATTAATTGTAAATACAGAAATGACTGACCATTTTAAAGTTCAAAAAGGGACAAGACAAGGGTGTCCGCTATCTCCGTTGCTATTTATATGGATGTTGGAAGTACTGCTTGGCAAGATAAGAGAGGATAAAGAAATTAAAGGATTAACCAATAGAGGTTTTACGTATAAATATAGAGCATTTGCAGATGATGTAATGTTTGTGGTTGAAGAACCTATAAAAAATTTACCATTGCTTATAGAAAAAATTGGAGTCTTTGGAGAGTTAGCAGGATTTTATGTAAATAAAAATAAGTCTAAAGTGATGTGTAAGAATATGACAACTGTAAAGCAAGAAGAATTACAGAAGTTAACACAATGTGAAGTAGTTAAAAAAACTAAGTAGGCATTGAATTGACAATGAAGAATATAGATCTCTTCAAGAATAATTATGATAAGCTATGGTGTCAAATCCAGCAAGACATTAAAAAATGGAATACTTTAAATTTGTCACTATTGGGCAGAATATCGGTGGTTAAAATGAACATTTTACCACTTGTGATGTTTTTATTTCAGACTATCCCAATAGTGAAAGACCCAAAAACTTTAAATGCTTGGCAGAAAGAGATTTCAAAATTTGTATGGGCAGGGAAAAAACCAAGGATTAAGATGAAAATTTTGTGTGATGCAAAAGAAAGAGGAGGATTTCAATTACCAAACTTTAGACTGTATCACGATGCGGTATGTTTAAAATGGCTGGAACAATGGGTGAATTTAGATAACAGGAAATTGCTGGCACTAGAAGGACACGACTGCAAGTTTGGATGGCATGCATACCTATGGTATGGGAAAACAAAAATGGACAATTTGTTTAAACACCATTATGTTAGAAGAACGTTGTTCGATACTTGGTTAAGGTATAAAAGGTTTTTCTCGGAGGAGAGACCACTTTGGATAGTTCCAGCAGAGGTACTAAAGCCGTATTCGAGCCATAAAGGTGAAGATTGGATACAATATAGAGATATTTTGAAACCAGCAGGGAAGACCTTTGACATAAAAGCGAAGGAAGAAATAGACTTTGATTATGGATGGTTGCATTATAGACAGATTTATGACTTGTATAAAAAAGATAAAAAGAGTATGGATTTAGGGGAAAATATAATTAAATTGAAGGTTTGTGGTTTGAGAAAGCTAAAAAGATGGTATCTAAACTATATAAGGTATTGTTAAAATGGTATACAGAGGGTGAAGTAGTAAAGGAGCAGATGATCAAATGGGCAATTAATATGAGCAAAGAAATTTATATGTCATCATGGGCCAAAAGCAAAGAGGTCTAGAGGCAAGAAGGCTGGTGTGCCACTGGCAAGGAAGGAAGTGGGCAGGGAAGGGGGCCTAGCAGCTTGGTCTTGGCAGGGCAATTCTGCCAGAGTTGCTGCTTCTCTCACTGTACCAGTGTCTACAGATACTCCAAAAGGGGTGATGAGGACCAAAAAGTGTGTCTGTATGTGAGCATGTATGAGGTGAATCTCACATTATTTGAGCAACCCAGCCGTTTTGACTGTAGGCTCTCCCTGTCCCACCTTCGTGACTTCAGTGTCTTACTATTCGTAGTAGAGAGGGGATCTTAGAAAAGGCAGCATGTCGTAAAATGAACTGAGAGAGGCCTGTACCACTTGAGGCTTCTCGAACTAAATGCATCCCCTCTGGCATAGGAGGGCACCTCAACAGGGGGTCTGATAACCCTTTGCATTGGCTGGGGAGGGTGGGGTTGGCCAAGCGTCTGCAGGGCACAACAGATAGCTGGTGGGCTGCACTCAGCGTTGGGGTTAATGTGTTGTATAGGTCTGAGCGCAAGATAAGACTAAACCAGCTGTCGGCTCCCTGCCTGAGTTAAGCCACGCTAATGCTAAATTGTGGCTCAAACTGCAAGCCAGCTTTGAATATACAAATCAGCTATTTCGGTAATTTGCCTGAAGAGCAACAGAAATCCTGGCAGTTAAAATTGGCGTGATAACCAAATGATCTGAGACAGAGGAAAGGGAAGAACAATGCCGGTTTCTTAGTTTTATTTAGTAGTTCTTGCTGCCCAGAGCCTCCCCCACCCCCGTGCCTGGTCCCCAAACGACAGGAAAAAGCCACTCAGGAGTGGGCACGGCTGTTCCCTTTAGACCCGCTGGGTTCAGTTAAAAAAAAAAAAAAATACACACCTCCTGCTCCCCTTCTCGTATATATCTTCAGAGATATAAATAAAATAAATTAAACACACAGGTGGGGGTGGGGAGCAGGAAGGGGGGGGGAATGGAGGAATGACGACGACGACGGTGCATCACACACACGGCAGGCAGGCCGGCTTCAGCGCTCACAGCCTCAGGCTCCAGGGCTCCGCCCCCGCCTGCTGCCACTGCCCCGGCCAGGCCCGGGCAAGTCTTGGGAAAGCAGCAGACGCCACCGATGCTGCTCTCCTCAACTTATTGCACTTCCTCTGCTCCGCTGCTCCATATTCCCCCTCCTATATAAAACACTTTCCTCAATGAGGGATGAGGAGATAAAGCAATTTTAAAAATATCTTACAGGAAATAATACCAGGGTGGAACGGAGTGAGTCCCAAGGAATGCAGAAGGTGCTGTCTTCTTCTCGCACCCAGGCCAACCCTCACCCCCACCCCGCCAGAGGTTAAAGAGACGGTGAGAGCCAGGGCGGCTGGGCGGTGCGAGGCCGGAGGGAGGCGAGGGGCCTCTTGCTGGCAGGCTGGGAGGCTACTTCTCCGTCAGCGAGAGCTGGAGGATGCGCTGCAGCTCCTCGTCTTCCTCGCTGCGCTGGCGTTCCCACTCTTCCTGCTCCTGTGAGGACAGCTCCATGGCCAGACGCAGCTGCTCATCGAAGCTGGGGTAGGGGGGTGGCAAGGCAGAGGAGCGGCCCCCGTCGGTGCCGAGAGCTGGGCTGACCTCAGGAGGAGGAGGAGGAGGAGGAGCACCATTGCTTCCTCCCGTCTCCACCGTGCCCAGGCCTGGCCCCGACTGAAGGAACATGCTCTCCTGGATAGCCCTGCAGGGAGAGAGAAGGGGGAGAAAAACGGGCCTTAGCAAGTGGGTAGCCAACTGCTCGTGTGGCCGCACTCCTCGGTCCTGTGGCTCAGAAAAGCGTCTAGCAGAACATTCCACAAGGCATCAGGTTGTACTCAGTGTCTGCAAGTTATGTCTAGCAATGTTTGGTGTCTGCATAAGCAGTGAGGGTGTGTGCGCAGGACCCATATTTTGTTTCCATTTGCCTACATCTTCTCTCTGTTTTCTCAGTTTTGTTTGTATCATCCCTCCCCCAACACATATTGGCAGAAAGTTGCTTGTCTTACACTTTCTTCAATTGCTATTTCTTAATTCTATTTAAAAATCTCTTCCAGAATTGCACAATTGCAAAAGCCCAGACAGGAGTCTTACAGTGGAATGTGAAATACCACAAGGCCTCCAAAAAGCCTATCCACCCCACATATCACAAAATGAAATTATGTATTAAGATAATATTTTCCCTTGTGTAAAAAACAGACTCATCTGATGTATGATCACATTTTATATTTACTGGAGGGGACAAAGACAAAAGCATAAACTACTTCAACAATAGCACGGCTGCAGCCATGGTAGTTGGAGAGGAGAGCTGGGAGTTTTCTTTTTCATCCTGTGCACCCTGTAAATTGTAGCACGGAAGATTTTACCCCTCTTCCAAAATGCACAGTCTGAAATGTGCCAACTCCTGGTTGTGCCTATGTCAGTTCTTAGATATTTTTTTTTACATTTAATGTATACCCTGCCTTTCTCCACAGTAGGGATCCAAAGTGACTTATATTGTTCTCTTTCCCATTTTATTCTTACAACAACCCTGTGAGGTAGGTTTGGCTGAGAGTGCTTGACTAGCCCAAGGTCACCTAGCAAGCTTCCATGGAAGAGTGGGGATTTGAACCCAGGTCTCCAAGATCCTAGGCCAACACTCTAACCACTACGCCACACTGTATTCTTACTTCAACTCTTTTGTGACTCAATGTAAGGTAATCTACGTAGGTAAGCTTTAATTCTCTGTCTAGCATTTTGTTCTCCAGAAGGGCCTTCCTATCATGTTTAGTAGGAAAACACAAGAGGGAAGGCATGTGGCGTTGATGCCCTCAAAGTTGAATGCAAAGGAAGTGACTGGGGAAGGGGATGTCATGTGACACTTTGGGGTTCATTGTCATCAAGTAGACTGATTGCATTTGGTTGTGCCTCCTTTTTGTCAAATATTAGTAAAACAGAGGAATCTATGAATAGCCAGAGGCAGGGATCATCTGGCACTTCTAATCTGCTCCAAACCACCTACGTCTGTGCAGTAACTTAAGGCCTGTCTGCTTCATGTCGATCTTACCTTCTTGCCTTTGGGTTCATTTTTTGCGTTAAGTGCTGTGTGGGTGTTTTGGACCCTTGCCTTGGGAACTGAAACTCCGGCTGGAAAGGCAGTTATTGTCCCTGCTTTTACTCTCTGACTCAACATCCCTGGTCTTTTGCTTCTCCCTTCTTGAGTGATGCATACTGCACAGTGTGTGTGTGGGGGGTATTTGGAATATCTGCATCTCAACATGGGCACTCCAATTGTGAAGTATTATTACTGTATATATCATATTATTGTGACTGCTTCAGTGAGCTAATTATTTCCCTTAATTAACTCTCATTCAACATTATTCAAAGTCTCAGTACTTCTAAGAATGGAAGATTTGTCTCCACTTACCGTGAAGCTTCCTTCTCGGTGGTCCAGGAGTGGGGCAGTCCTTGACTCCTTGGAAAGCGCCTCCCCCTTCCGTAGGCAGGGCCGGCAAACTTTGATCCCGGAGGAGGGGCGTATCCTCTGATCCCCAGTCATACTGAAAGCCACCTCTGAGCTGCTGTAAATTCACTTAAAAAAATATCTCCTTCCCCCTCAGACAGCTGGGGAATACCATCACAGCCGTGGGCTTAAACAAATACAAACCTGTATTTTAACCATTAGAGCAAACAAACAGCAACAGTCCACCACATCACATCATCAGTTAGACCATATTCATGAACAGCTGAACCACTAAAAAACCCTAAAGGACCGGAAGTCGTGTCCATCAAGAGAGGGCGGGTAGGACTGCCCCACTCTGGACCACCTGGAAGGAAGCTTCACGGTAAGTGAATACAAATCTTCCATTCTCCGGTGGTCCAGGAGTGGGCCAGTCCTTCAGACTCCTTACTCCTGGGACGTAGAAAAGCAGTGCTCCCCCCGGGTGGGTCACACAACGTCCGGTGCATATAGGGCCCGAAGTAACACTCTCCTGTCAAATGCTGCTTCTGCCGAAGCTAGTTCTTCAATCCTATAGCGCTTTGTAAAGGAATGGACAAATTTCCATGTCACCACCTTACAAGTGACTTCTAGGGACAGCAAGGCCCTATATGCCTCCAACGTGACTGTCCCCCGTAGAGTGCCCTGTGACCCCTGCTGGAGGTACCAACCCCTACACCTTGTATGCCTGACTGATCCTTATCCACCTGCTCAGGGCAGAAGTGGAGACACTCTTTGCCAGGGACAACTGACTAACATACCCAAACAAGGATTCAGTCTTTCTCAACCCCCTGGTCCTGTCCATATAGAAAACTCAAAGCACCCTGTTGTTGTAGAAGGTACATAAATCTGTGTGTACCGACAAAGCTCTCAGCTCCAAAAACCTATGCGCTGAAAAGATCCCCACTAAGAAATTGTTTACAGAGTAATGTCTTTCATGGGACATGATGCCATTGGTTCAAATGGCTCCTTGCATAGTGTCACGATTGCGCTGGCGGGCCAGGTAGGGCACGGAAAGTCCAAAACACAGTCCGAGTAACATGAGCAGAGTCCAAAATACCAAGTCAAAAACGCAGTCTAGGGTTACCGGGGATTGCATGCAGAGTTCAGAAGCCGAAAGCTGTTCGTCAAAAGTCAAGATACACAGTTCGTAGTCAGGGAGCCGGAGAAACGATGTCACGCAAGCCAAAGTCAGGAGCCGGGAAGTCAGGATGAAAACCAGGAGACAGGAACGCAGGATCCGGAGTGCAGCGAGGCGTCTATGAGACTAGTTGCCAGCATGAGTTGGGGATCTGAGAGAGCGGCCTAAAGAGCCCGTTTCGCTTGTTAGCCAATTACCGGCCGCTGACAGGGTCCTGGCTCCGGTCAGTACTCTGGGCTTAGAGGACGCCGACCTCGCATGCGCACCTCCTTACGTCGGGTTGCCATGTCCCGCCGCCTCTGTTCTCGCAAACGAGCCACCGGTGGGAGGGAATCAGGATCCCCGGGGTCAGGGTCCACGGGGTCGGGCTGCACTGCAGGCATGACACATAGTGCTCATAGCACTGCATTTACATTCCATGTGGAGAACCTGCGTACCTGTGGTGGATTGAGGAGGGAGGACACCCTCAAAAAAATGCCATATGTGCGGGTGATTCCCTTTCTTAGCCCCTCCAACCACAGAAAAGGGTGTTACTTGTCACCTTAGAGAACTAGTACTCAACCCTTTACTCAGACCCTGTTGGAGAAAGCCATCCCCAACCTGTGCCCGCCTCGGTTCCAACACCTGCTCTCCACACCAGTTAGATGTTTGGCAAGATCCGCCATATATCTTGATCATAGAAGATTTTCTGGATGCCAAGAGCATGGAAACCACCTCTGTCTCCTATCCCAGAGCTGCTCACTGTCTCCTCTCAACCTCCACGCTGCGAGTTGTAGCATGTCCGGTTGCAGATGAACGGTCATCTCCTGAGATAGAAGGTCCTGTCTGAGAGGCAGCCACCATAGATCCCGTCTGGAGAGGCTCATGAGGTCCTGGAACCACGCCCTGTGGCCAGAAGGGTACTATCAGAATCACATCTGCTCTTTAATCTATCACCTGCTGTACCACTCTGAGAATTAGAGTTAGGAGTGGCAAGGCATAGGGTAGAGTTCTTGGCCATGCTAGGAACAGGGCGTCCATTCCTAGTGCCCCTTTCATGTCTCGATGTGAAAGGATCCACCTCTGCCTTCCGAATCTTTCACTGATCTGTTGGAAGGCGTCCCTCTGTTAACACCTTTCTCTTCCTGCCATATGTGTGTCCTTTAAGAACAGCGCATACTCTCTGCCCATTGCATTTTATTTATTTATTATTTATCCTTCGACTTGATATACCGCCCAAACCCCCGTAGGGGTCTCTGGGCGGTTTACAGTTTCTTGGGTGCTAATCACCAGTTTCGATCCTAACTATGGCCACACGTTGATACAAGGGGGGGGGGGAGTTCCCTACCGGCACCCTGATGAAGACTTTTTTTCCGGCTCGGCTTCTTCTGGCTTGTACGATGTCCGGTACTCGGCAGACTTCAATGCTGGTCACCGGGGATCAGTCAGGCTCTGCTGCTGCCGTCTGCCGCCTCTCAGCGCTGCGGCGCCTCCACCAATCGCTGCCGCCGTCGCTCCGCTGCCGCTCTCACCGCCACCATCTTCGCCAGCCACTGCCTCTCCACACACCTCCACGGACGGAGGAGGGTGCCCCCACCCTACTAAGGGTGGGTACCCATTTATCTACTCGCCGATAGATAGTTACTTTGGCTTTCGAACCGCTGGGTGGGCTAGGACTAAGGGCCGAGAGCTCACCTTGACCACGGTGGGACTCGAACAGGTGCTCGAGTAGATGTTAAAGCAGGCGCTATACTGCCTGCGCCACCGCTCCATCTCTTGCATCGCTTCCTGGTGTAGCCACTGGGATTGCGTGTCTCCCTACCTCTTAATATAGACTTTCGCCATCATGTTTTCCATTTGAATCAGAACATGACTGCCTACCAGTTGCGTCTGGAGGCAAACCAGGGTCAACTTTATGGCCCTAAGTTCCAGGAAGTTGATGCTCTTGGATGTTTCCGACTTCGACCAGGTGTCTTGACCATGTGTCCCATGGAATGCGCTCCCCAGCCAAAGAGATTTGCATCCGTCGTGAGCATGGTCCTCTGAGGATCCCTTAGAAGTATCCCTTCTGTGAACCGAGTCGGAACTAGCCACTACTGTAACTCTG